TGGATGGCATCCATTCTCTCCAGCATGTTGACCACACAGGACACCTACCTTTAAATACAGARTACCTGTCTTTAAATAAATATCTATTTTCAGCATATGGAATACTTTGGTAGATCAGACAATACTGTTTGGAGTTTTCTGATTGCTACTGTAAGCTGCATTAACAGTTGAATTAGCAACACAGTGGGCACAAGAAATCCAGGTGTTTTCTAAAGCATGCCAGGGACAAATTCTTACCACACTTGTTAGAAGGGCCATCTAGTTCAGCTGGACACCCACCTGTATGTGGTACTCATGTCCAAGAGAAGAATGTTTGGGGACATGATAATCAATGGTCATGTTAGGTGTAGCAACCATAAAATKGTGGCATTTAAGGTTCTGAGGGGAGTGACAAAGACAAATGGCAGCTCTTTCAAGAGAATGACTTTGGGTTATTCAGGTGAAGTGAGATTCCATGAAAGTTAGCTCTGAAGGACAAAGGAGCTCAAGGGAGCTGGTAGCTTGTTAAGGACTTCCTCCAAGACAAGAACAGTCTGTCCCAACTATCAGAGGAATAAGCAAATGTGTTGGGAGACCAACTCAGTAAACATAGAACTTGTGAATGAACACCAAAAAAAGTATACACAAGGTGGAAGCAAAGACAGACTACTGATGTGGAATATAGGAATACTTCTTCAGCATGCAGAGATAGTATTAGGAAAGCCAAATGTCAACTAGTGTTGAAACTGCTGAGGGACATCAAATGCTTTCTTGGTCTCACTCTCCACCTAGGAAGGCCCCAGGGTCTCTGAGCTCTGAGACAGGATTCAGAGAACAGGATCAAGTCACAAATCTCTTGAGAACTCTCAGTCCACATGGGATCCAGTGGGATGTGTGGGATGGGGCTGRAAGCTGGCTTGATGTTAGTGAACAGACACATTCCATCAGGTCCCTAGAGATCACTGAGGTCCATGTCTGCGTTCAAGGGGGTACTTTAGGCAGCAAGAGRTTCTGTTTAACTGCACACTCTTCGGCTACCAAAGCAGAAGAAAAATACCATTCAGTATTGCTTTTCACCTGAGATGGGTCYTATCATGGTCTCCTGACTTAAATAAACTTGCCACTAGTCAATAAACTACATGATCCTGAACAAGTCACCCCGATTTTCCCTGAGGGTAGAGCTCCAGCTATGGTATCCACGGATACCTGGAGCTGCAGCATTCTTTATTTAATCCCAGCTGATTTAAAGCTGATTTTAGCATATCCTCTGATCATGACCTGAGACTTTGAATGGCTTTGTAGGATTTTTCATTTTGTGCATATCCACTGGRAGATTACAGGGCTGGACATTAATGTTGGCAGGTTCATGATGTCCACATGGTGGCCTGAGTCTTTGTGTGATTCTAGACCTTGTCTGTGCCTTTTCCCTGGAGATCATTTGGTGCATATGATTTGCAGAGAATTTAGCCAAAAGAATTATTATGTCACTATTCACACAAGAACTGTAATTTACAGGGATATGCAACATGGCTAACTTAGCTCCAGTCTTTACAGAATTAAGTTMTTTTCCCAAAGCAAGCATGTCCTACAAACTGAGCCAAACACTAATATAGAAAAGTGAGAGAGTAATTACCTATTATGCATCTAAGAACAATAATTACATTTTTAATTTAAGTACTTATTCTGATACAGATATACAATATAAAAAATTTCACTTTAGAGCATTAATGCCTATTAAATCTATAAGAAACTGTAAACATGCTTTTATCATGAAAATGTTGGGCAACTTTAATTATAGGMATTACTGTCCTGTGCTTCTCTAATGAATGTGTGGTACCAGCATAGTGAGTGGTGTGACCTSTTTAAGGGGAGTGCTGTAGAAAGAATGTACCTCAGAAAGTTACACTCACTAGACCTTAAGAACCAGCAGGTCACAGTGTGTTCTCTGTTCATGTTCTAATTAGAGCCCATACTTCTCAGAATCATTAACATATGAGAGGATAATTAGCAGTTTTATCCTAACAGTTTTGGGAGGCCAGATTCTGATTTAATTTACGTTCAAGTAAATGTGTAGTAATACCAGGATAAATGTGATTATAGGAATTTATTATTTCAGTAAAAAGTAAACTCCRCCCATACCAACTTTACAGTTCCTGTGACTTTTAGAAATTAATTACAAGAGTTATCTGTACCCTATGAGCTTGTCAACTTGCTGATATAACTAGAATCTATTTTGGGTGCATGCCATTAAGGTACTATAAATGCCATACTTTCTGATTAGTACTATTGCTAGGTCAGTATTTCTAAAGGGACATGGCCTAAAAGTCACTATGACTTTGAAAAATTAAATATTTTTCCATAGCGGAGCTCTCTCTCCCAAAAAAAAAACCCCAACCAAAAAAAAAAAAAAGAAAAAAAAAAAAAAAAAAACCCGAAAACCAATCAACTAACCAAAATCCAAAACAATAACAACTAAAAAACCCCCAAAACCCAAACCAAACCAACAAAAATCTAAAAAAAAAACCAAAATGACCAACCAAACCAACCAACCAAACAAAAAACACAAGAAGCCCACCAAGGCAAAAAACAACCACCTCACCCCAGCCAAAAC